GGTGTAGTGAAAATCAGTATGACTGTTCTGATCAATATTACAAAAACCTTGTTGAGACACAAAATGATGTTTCTGAAATTGGACAAAAACCTGATGAAGAAAAACAAAATTTTCAGATCGCCGTGCCACATGATAGAGGAGACATAAACAGAGCTATCTTATATTGAAATTAAAAATCCGCCCTTAAAGCTTCTTATTGATACTTTTAAATCCCGATCTTACAGATTTGCATTTTAGAAAATGTATTTATAAAGAACCATTCCAAGTAACTTCAGTTTTCCAGCATTCGCAAAGAGACTACTGTGCTAAAATGCCTACCTTTTCCCGCCAATTCAATGTTACTGAGCCTATAAAATTTCATTTGTTCAAATTTCACAAGTATTTTGATGGTCTGATTGGTCTAGACATTTTGAAACTTCTAAATCACAGATTGACCTTACAAACTATATATTGCATACCAAAAACGTGAAAAAAACACAACCTTCACCATCAAATTTTTCATAAAGTGTTGACTATATGACAACTTTTTATAGAAGCAAAACGATAAAAAAATGAATTCCTTACAAAATCGTTTATATCACTTGTTTACATAGGATAGTTTTCCATATTTTCCATTGAACGCATTTATCAAAATGCCGGCAAATGCTCCAGCCCTAACATGACATCAATTTAAACTTATTATTAGGAAGAAATCTAACGATACCAACAAAAATTTACTGTCACAAAAATTGTAGAATTTCCTTGGCCTATTGGTAACATTTATTCAGATATATCTATGTCACTTTTACAGCTTACCATACATTTTCTTGCGGTTGTTGGTCGACTGTACTATACTCGTATATGCCATCTTGACTCCTTTTTTGTTTGTTAATTTTTTTAATCCTTTTGGCTTATCTCAAGATTAGTGTTTCTGACTCGACGCACTTCCAAGGCTCAGTACAAATGATGTTCGATATGGACAACACCAGTTCGTTTAAAAACGAGAGTTTTTATAATGATACGGGGGAACTTTACAAAAATGGTACTTTACCTATTTGGGCCATTAAGTTTTATTTTACTGTGATATTTTTCGGTAGTTTCGTGTCATTTGTCTCGGTCATAGCTTTGCTGAGATGCAAAAGAAGCGGTAAGTAGTAAGAAATAGTAAGCATGTTGATATAGCCTTACGAATTAACATTTTCACAACTTAGCAATTACTAATAAGGAATGATGACAAGTGTGAGTACTAATACTGTACATCTCAAGAATCATAGCATATTTATTAGTGTAATTGGCAACACTGGTTCTGTGCTGCCCGTTCAGCGATTTGTGTATCGTATAGTTTTCGTAAAGTATGGATGTAGCTGAATTGGCCAAGAAAAGCTTAATAACTCACCTAGTTTATCATTTCCGGGCTAAACTAGTATGATTTGTCTTTTTTGCTCTTCAAAATCGCTTTGGGGCCTATACTTATTGTAATCTCCAGGTCCAATTTTTTTTACGGCTGGCTTATTGGTCGTACTTAGCCAAACGATGCCATTTGTACAAAATGCACGACTGTGAAAGATTTGTAAATACAGCTAGCACATAAATGAAGCCTTAATCGAAACGATATTTACTATCACCACAAATGATTTAAAATTTATCCAGTATTATTTGTTTGAGGCAATCTTCAACAATGTTTTTTATGAAGGACTACCCTTTCTAGGCTTTAAGCATACACTATTGTAATTTTCTGATGATGAAGTATCTATAATAGCTCTAAAAATAATATGGCGTGGAGGATGAGTTGGTCAACTAAGCCAAAGAATATTGCGTTACGTTATCTATTTACGTGGTTATGACAGAGTAGTTATATCGTAATGGTATATTTTGCGATTCGATTACGAAATCTGCTTCATCAGAGCAGGCTCTTCTCATCATAATAAGATATACCTATTATATAGGAAGTGAAAATGCTCAATATGCCAATGGTTTACAAGAAATCAACAAGATTAACAAGGTGAAAAAGTATTTATATATAATTGTAACAGCATGTACACTACAAGGCAACTTCCTGAAAAATACGCTAATTTTTGTGGGTATTACTATGTTCTTCATAAGATCATGAGAGGTAAACACTCGCTGCCAGAGGCTGCCACGCATCGTGTCACGTGACTGGCGCAAGGCGCAGTGCAATCATTCGCGGTATGTTTAAAACAATCTTCACGGGTATTACGTATGTTGAAAAGTGACATATTTATGCCGATTTTTTTCTACAAGATGTTAACTTAGCACTGGCTGATGGACATGTGGTGTACTCGTTTTGTAATTGTACATGTTGCCTTAACGTCATGAGGCTGCAGTTATCAATGTTTGGCTCTGATAAAAATCTGATTCAGAGATACCGGAGGTATCAGCAATGCATAGGTGCGTTGGTGCGTAGTGAGGATTTGTGTGCTAATAATGTGTTGATGATAATTCCATTGGATTCTTGTCTCAAATACCCTTACTTAAGATTCAACGCTAGAAATTAGTTGCGGATCCACTTTTTTTTATCCATTTTGGAATTTACATAATATGCAGATTTGCTGAATTTTAAAAATAAAATAAGAGAGAGATAAGAAATATCACAATACACTGTCGAATCACAAGTCATATACATGCTAACAGTAATTAAACAACACTGGCGCGACGGTGATTTCCCGAAATTCTCCTCAATGTTTTTGAAAACTCAAAAACATGTAAAAAATCGAAACTGATCACTTTGAACATAACCTGTCTTCCGGAAGGACAACACAGCTAATAGATGGTATATGTACTTCATTGGAAGGATATTCAGTAATGATTTTCTCACACAGCAAATATCACTGATTTTATACATACTTAGACCAATACACACAATCATCCAGATGCGATCTTGCTATTCAACCAAATAACCAACTTTCTTCTCAGAGACTCAGAGATGAAATCTATAGACCACTCGGCTTCACAAAACATTTGCAACCAACAACGCGTGTATATGTGTAGTTGAGCCATTCCTCTATAAATGGACGCTCACAACGATCCTAGTGAGCAAACGTGGAACGACTGTTTGCTCCCTAGAAACTACCTAGTCTGCAAAATGACATCTTATAGGTTTTTTTACGTTTTATAGGTTTTTACATAATACCCGTGCCAATAATCTATGGTAGAAGTAAGCTGACCGGCATGGGTATCATGTAAAAAACCTATAAAACGTCAAAAAAACCTATAAGATGACATCTTGCAAACTAGGTAGTTTTTAGGGCGCAAACAGTCATTCCACGTTGGCTCACTAGGATCGTTGTGAACGTCCATCTAAGGAGGAATGACTCAACTAAACTAAACGCATTATTGGTTGCATATGTTTTGTGAGGCCAAATGGTCCTTGTCTGTAGTTTTTATCTCTGAGAAGAAAGTTGGTTGAATAGCAAGATCACATTAGGATGATTATATGTATTGGTCTGCATGTGTATAAAATCAGTGATATTTGCAGTGTGAGAAAATCATTACTGAATATGCTGCCAATGAAGTATATCTATTGGCTGTGCCCGACGGGCTATTTTCATGTTGTGCTTTCTGAAGAGAGGTTATGTTGAAAGTTATAAATTACGAAAAACTGAAGAGATTTACGGGAAATCATCACCGCGCACGCGTTTTGTGTAATTACTGATAGCATGTGGCTTGTAATAGGACAGTGTACAGTGAATATAATTATTTCTTATCTCTCTCATTTTTGAAATTCAGCAAATTTGTATAATATGTAATTTCCAGAATGGATAAAAAAAGTAGCTGTGCAACTAATTTCTAGGTTTGAATCTCAATTAAGTGTATTTGAGACAAGAATCCAATGGAATTATCAACACATACAACTTACAGCTTAGACCTCCATTAATGCCATCTCTGAAGCAGATTTTACATCACATCATTGATAACTGAAGCCTCATGACGTTTAGGCAACACGTACAACTAAATGCTAAGTTAATATCTTGTAGAAAAACCTATATAATGTCAACAAAAAAAAACAGTATAATGTCAGAAAAAAATCAATATAACGTAACTTTTCAAGATACATGATACCCGTGCTGACCCCTGCCAGGCTGCCAGAATACTCCACAATAAAATGCGCGTTATGCGATAGGCGAATCCTCAAGTTGAAGTTGCTTTAATCAAATCCAAGCGGATAACCAAAATTTCCGTATTATGTACCGCGGTTATAATATGGTTCAAGATGACACACAGGATGATGACGTCAGTTACTCGAATCGCTTGAACGCGTCAGTTTTAACTGCGGTTTGTTGCAAATTGTTTATTTTAGAAAAGCGCGTATATAATTTCAGATTATTTTTATTATCATTTAATAATCGGTGCTTTTTCGTCTACAACGGGGTATGGAAAGTTGAAAAAAAGAAAACTTTCATAATATTAATGGGATGAATGTTTTTTTTTTCAGAAAAAAATTTTTACTGATGGACCATGGCTTTGTAGCTATGATAACTTTCAATTCTCTAAACTTTTACGCATGTCAAAGAAAATATTTATTGATTTAGCAGAAATGATGAAAAAGCGATGAAAAAAGATATTAACAAAACCGTATACAAGTGGACATCATCCAGTGAGTTTATACGGCCATATTTTAATATTCTTGTGGTATATGGCTATACAGGATACTTTTTTAAGCGTAGGAACAAGATTTAAGGTGTCCCCAACAACAGTAATGATTATAAATAATAAGGTGCTCTCTTATGCTAAAACTGAAGTCAGCCTGTATCAAGTTTCCCGAAAATGAAGCTGAAGTACAATAAAAATATCCAATACCCGGCAAAATTCTAACTTGTCACATGTCAAATAATAACCAGAAATATAAAACTACTCCCGAGTTGGGTAAATATCACAATTTTGCGGTGATAACTATGACATATAACAGCTCGTCACGGATCTTATAACCAAACTGATAACCACACTCGCTTGAACAGATCGGTAAATACCAATCCAAAATGGTATTTTTCCATTTGGTTATCCGCTTGAATTTGATTTTTGTGTGGTATTGCATATTTGCTGTTCACCTCAATCCGATCCTGTTCCTTGCCACCTCTCCAAAAAGAAATCTTTGACTTTTAAATGTATGTTTCTTGAAGTTATATTATGTATTGTCTAGATGGCTCTTTATGTCAGACGCCTCGGCGGTCTAAATAAATACTTGATACTTGAATAGTCGCGTGTCGCGTCAGTGTATGACTGGTTGACTGGTGTATGATGTGTTTTATATAGTCAGCTGCGTGCTGCCTAACATGTATGCTGGCCAAGACCAACATAAACAAAAATGAACAAACAAATATGAAAATGAAAGATAAATCCTTCAACTGAAAATATATGATTTTTTCTGTATATTTCACTAAATTTGCTTCAAAAGGTAACCTTGACGAACTGTGTTCGTGCTGTAGGTCTGCCGGTATGAAGTGAAAGTGAAGGTGATTGTGAAAGCTTTGAAATCGATTAAATTCGTATACGACATTTTTTTGAAGATAACCCGTTGTCAGCGTCATTGTTTCTGAAAGATAAAACGTATTATCTATTTTGCAACCGACTATTGCTTCTATATAATAATATCACGGCACATATTCGTAACTCGCGAACAAAATGTCTTGCGCGGCAAATTTGGCAGCCCAAAAGGCGCTTCTACCGCAAAAAATTGAAGAGTGGTTAAAGTGGGATAAGAACGATAAAACATGTGAGGAATTAAGGAAACTTGCTGCCACTCCAGATAACCAAAAGCTCCTTGAAAATATCATGCTGAACAGAATTGCATTTGGAACAGCAGGTCTTCGAGGTAGAATGTATGTAGGCTACGCCTGCATGAATGATCTAGTCATTGTACAAACTGGACAGGGTTTCTTGAGATACCTTGAGAAAAAGGATAAAGATTTACTACAGAAGAAAGGCATGGTCATAGGATATGATGGAAGGTACGATATTGAAATTATTTCACAATATTTGTCTTATTCATGTAGCTGTAAATTACTCGCATATTATATAAACACTCTACAATCTGGAAAAGATTGAGGAACTGAAAATATATTGGATTAGTGCCAGTAAGCTTATGCCTCCACCAAAATATGGTGAAATGTGTATTTTCTATGTATGTAGAAGTATCTATTATGTTAAAAAAAATTTTATGTGGTTGGAACACTTTTTTCGCCCAAAAAAAGAAAATTGATATATTTTTCCATCAATTATGTGTGAAAATTAACAAAATCTATACTCGCCTAGTGTGTTGTGTGTACTCTCAGTACAAATATCAACAAATCTCTCTGTATATGTAACTGGTATAACAATTTACATATAATTTTTGTATTGTTAAATACATATTACAACATATTTCTAAGAGAGACTAAAAATTTGTATAGATGCATAAAAAAAACTCATGTTTAGTAATTTCTGAAAATTGTGTTACCCTCACTGTGTGGATGTAACAGTTTCATAATTTGATCAATGCATAGAAAATCAAGAAATGATAACTTAAAACTAGCGCGATTTTGCCTGCTGCAACATGGAATGCCGAAGTTGCTTCACACCTTGTGTTGACGGTTGCCCTTTTACCAGCTGTTTCAGTATTTAGGTACCCTGATAAGTAAATGTTTGTGTATTTCAATGGTACTATGTAAAAAAACGATTCTTGAATACAAAAGTCATGAATTATACACAATAATATAATACTGTATCTTAATTTTTTTTTGTTTAATACATTTTTGTCACTATACCCTTGCATCACCTCTCATGCAGTTTTCATCTCAATTGTTTTTTCTACTCTTCTGAGTGTCTGTGAGCTTTCCATCTATATGATTTCACCAATGGAACTGAAAACTTATTATTTTTACTAAAGAACTATTCAATTTATTTACCTTATGGTATTGTATAATCATGTTTAAAGTATCTTTTTCATAGTTTAAATGTCCCCCCTGGCCACACATTTTCCCCTAGTACCTGTCAAGCTGAAAACATCAAAATATCTGCTCCTGTCATATATGTATAACATATGTCTTGTGACATATGCTTAATCTGCAGGTTTTGCAGAACAGAACCTTGCGAACCATCACTAACGCATCATGGTATGTCCCCAATGAGACCCTTCACAGAGACCTCGACATCCCTTACCTAAGGGACTAGATTAAACGACAGGCACAGTTACGTTATAGTCAAGTGGAATCGCACAGCAACCCTCTGTTGCGGGAGTCAGTAGACTATACAGGTGTGCAAGCACACAAGACCGTGGCTCGCACTGTAATCAAAATCAATTCGTGCAATTCTAGGTCCAACCAAAATTACGATTTTTGTCACACATACAAATACCCAAATTAATTTTTGGATCAATTTAAAATGACCATGTCACACTCTTTTCTCTTCCCCCTTCCTTCCTTTCTTTCTTCCTGATTTTGTCTGGTATCTGGGCAACCAGACCTGACAAACCTACTGACCTACGATACTTTAACAAAGAGCATAGGTCCCACGGACCACTCTAACGGATAATGACGAATAGAGAGTCTTGTGACATAATGAATTCGAAAATAAGATACTTTTTCTTAGTTGGCACTGAAAACCCAAATACTGTATTGAAGATTCACTATATTATACTATTTTGCGGACTGAGAATTTTAGAAACTATTGTTCTTTGGATGAGGGGGGAACTATTCCCTTCAAAAGCAACCTTATGATACCTTGTTATCAACTGGATTTCAACTCTAATTGTATTGCTTTTGTGTTCTGAAGCAAATGCCATTTCATTTTAATGTTGTGGATAAATCTGCTGACTATTCTTCAAAATATTCCTACTACTAAGAATGCAGAATATATAATAATATATAGTCTGTTCTGATTCTTAAAAGCCCTCATTGAAAAATAAAATGTTTAATTGCCAGACTTCACATATAAAATCTTGCCAGATCATTCAACTGACCTGTAGCATTTTGTATTTACAAACATTTTGTAATACATAAATATTTGTGCAAAACCTCTTTCATCAGCTGATGGGCAACTGCAAAGCACCTACATGGTAGTGGCCGCAACTGTTGAGCAACTGGTCTTGTTGCCGGCTTTTTGGTATGAATGACTATTAGAATACATGTCCCGAGTTGGAATGAGGTTGCCAGTTGTTTTCAGTGAGAACAGTCGCTTAAAATTGTCTACTTGGATCAGTTTTTTTAGAATGTTCTCTTCATAAATATTTTTCTCAAGTCATTACTTCAACATTTATTTTTGAATTATTCAAGGCACAACAGTAAGCATTGGGCCGAATTAACTGCTGCCATCTTTTTACATGCTGGCTATCCAGTTAAGCTGTTTGGTATGGTAACGCCAACACCCTATATACCTTTTTCCATAAGAAAGTACAAATGTGCAGCTGGGATTATGGTTACTGCATCTCATAATCCAAAAGAGGACAATGGATATAAGGTATATGGACCAAATAGTGCACAAATCATTCCACCTGCTGATAAGGAAATACAGCAGTCTATATTGGAAAACCTGGAACCCTGGCCCACATCTTGGGATAAAAGTATTTTGAGCAATAACTCATTGCTTTCAGATCCGTTAGGTGAGTATGTTGACTTTCTGACAATTTCATATCCGATCCAGTGTCACTTGAAAATAACATACTTTTTCTTAGCTTTTATGAATGTTTAGGCAACAAAGCATATACCATAAAACATAGCATATATTATAATTTATCATTTTGCAAAAGGACATTTGTCGTGTGAATAAATTGTAAAATTAATCTGTCAGCAATACTAACAGGAAGCTTGATTATATATATCTGCAGCACATATTTCTAAAGCTTTATTGGGGGTGTAGACTATCCTAGCGCTTTTTTGATCCTGCACAATAGGCTCTTGTGATTTCTAAGCCACAAGTGATTGGCTACTGGCAGAATCCAAATGCTAATATGCTAATATAAACTTCTAACATAGCTTAGATAAAAATCAGCTTTGAAACTCTCCCTGTGAAGAACGGCCGCCATTTCGGCGGAAAATGTCGAATGCAAATTTCCCCAGTACAATGATGAAAGAGGTTCCAGTGCTAAGCAGCAGCGGGTGTTGCCACGTACCCTGCCAGCGGCCGCAGATATTTGCAACCGTAAAATCATAATATTTCGATATGGTCTAGTGTAGTTTGTGTTAACCAATAATGAAAAGGAATATACATATTTGTCCAAGAAGAAGCGACTAAGTATTGATGACTATTTGTTTATGAAAAAGTTTTAAAATAAATTCGTATTGGTGGAAGTATTTACAATAGAAGCACTGTTAACACACCGCAATCAAACCTGATAGTTCTGACAACTCCTCAGCTAGGGTGCTTATCCATACAAGGCGAGTTTTTAATGTGTAAGCGGTCGGTCGTTCCGATATTTTAAATTCATAGAAAAGTTAGTCATAAAAATTGTAGGCAACTATATGCTACTTACTTGGAAAATATGCCTCTCCCCACAAGGTGATTAATAATAATTACAATGACAATACATAGTTTTTTTGAATGAATATGTTTAGAATGAGCGATGAATAAAAAAATATTCGTGCAATGTGGATTAGTTTTACTGATGAGCAATGTTTTTTAAATCTCTCATTTAAATATTGATGTGTTCTCATGTTTTTTCGCGACACATACATCGAAATTCTTGTGATTGAGTGTAGGTTGTATTTGACTGGTGTTTTTAGCACTGCTTTCATTGAAAATGCAATAAATTGATTATATCGCAGCAGCGTTATTCAACATAGTAAAAGTATTTTTTCATTTTTTGTAAATACTTCCACCACTACAAATTTATTTTGAAGCTTTTGTTTAGAGAAACATACTCCTTTTTATTATTGATTCACACAAACTACACTAGATCATATCGAAATACTATCATTTTACAATTGCAAAGAATGCATGCTGCCGCTGGCAGGGTAAGTGGCAACACCGGCTGCTGCTGAGCACTAAAACCTCTTTCATCGTTGTACTGGGGGAATTTACATTCAATTTTCTCCGCCGAAATTTCGGGCGTTTTTGACACTAACAGGACAGTTTCATAGCTGATTGTTATCCAAGCTGTGCTTCTAATATAAATTTTCTGAATTGAACTTCTGTCATCTATTTGATGATCACCTTAGATTAGAGATTTGCTGCATTTTTTTTTACTTCAGAAGTGCCAAAATCAGAAACTTTCATATTTACACATATCTCACGGTCAAATAACAATAACTTCACGGTACAATTGTTGGGCACTATTAGAGTAAGATCCCAAGGCTGTCAGGCACTACTTTTTTTATGAAAGACAAAACGTGGTTTACTAGTTACAGCTGAGAAAAGTTGAGTGAAAATAAGACTAACTTAAATTCTGATGACCGACTTTTATATATACTTTGTAAAACATTATTTTCAAGTAATATTCAATGTTGTCAGTCTTTAAATACGGTATGCCGCAATTAGTTGACTTCTTTTGTTTGTATAACTGTTTAGAGAAAAATTTTAATTTGAAAATTAGAAAGTCTCATATAAAGTTTTCCATGCTAGGCTTTTTTGTATACAGAATGTCTCAGAACAGTCCTATCGAATAGAGTTGTATTTTTTAAACTGGGGCACAATTCAGTAGCACTGACACTCTGTATATAAAAAATATATTGCATATAAACATTTATATTAGACTCTATAACTGTTGCATAAAACATTTTTTTCAAAATGCTCATACAAAAAAGTTACAGAAAGGTCAATTTATAGCGAGACACCTTGTTTAAAGCATTTAGGAGAATTTACGGCTGACGGGAAGTATCTGGCAGTGTAATATTAGTTTGTAATATTTTACAAAGCAGACATACAAATCAGCCATTAGAATTTAAGCTAAGATAGCCCTATTTTTACTTAACCTTTCTCACCTGGTACTAGTAAATCGGGCCTCTGTCTAACTTAGCAGAACTTGAAGCTTATCTCAAGGGCATATGAACTTGAGACATAGTTGGTAAAACTTCATACATTTATGAAAATTGTTTTGACTTTGATGGGATCTTTGACAAGAAAAAATATTAAATAATATCTGAAATTTTAGGTGGTTTAAAGAGACTGTTGAAATAGTAGACATTTGAATGAGCAAAACGGTATACACATATCCAATTATACAAGGGTGCGTTTGAAGAGAATTACCCCACTAGCTTGCGATGTGGTCTCCGCCGCTGAATTGAAGCTGTGACTTAGCGACAGTAAAAGTTGTTTACCACTGGTGACATTTACGAAAACGGCAAAGATGGAACGTGAGATAAATAATCAAATATTGCTTTCGCCTGAGTAAAACTGGTACGAAAACGTCTGCCGTTATCACTAACGGGAAATGTCCACTCGTTCATTGGTTCATTGGTGAACAGTGGGCACTCGGAAAACTATTAAAAAATTAGTGAGCAGTGAATTTGGATATAGCGAGCCCTTTGGTGTTCATTTGTTGATTTTAGAAGACGTTCAGAGCATCCCAAGCTCTCAACAGCATTACGACCGTTTTGGGCGCCATTGGACCACCGGAACACCTGGCTTCTGTGTAAAGGTCGTCTGTCACTATACAAAATCTTCTACTTATTTTAGTACGCCTTTCGTACAAAATTAACGATAGAGTCAGACAGCAATTAATACCTAATTTTCCTAATTTTGTATGAACAAATGTATAGGTCTTTTCACTATTTTTGGCGGGTCACAGTACAAATACAGCAATTACTCTCATACATAGCAACATAGCAGATGTAGATGCGTCAAAAAACGGCTGGTGCAGTTTCCATTGGGGAAGTCAAGCTCCTCATCTGATGTAGTTACTTAGTCTGTTTACTTATTTGGTATGGCATTGTGACGCAATCACCAAAAACCGTGATAGAACTGTAGTGCATAATTTCTTAGATCCGGTTCTAAATAATTTGATACTAAAAGTGCGCATGGGGATACTACGCATTTTGACTGTAGTCGCTAGACACACCAATACTTTGTAAACCGGGTTTGGATTTGGAATAAGCATTATGTAGCAATACTAGTAGAGGGAAAATCACTAAGCTGAAATTTATTTCTGTGAAACGCATGAATCTAATTCAACATCTGAAATATATGCTGTGGTTTACATGTAGATAATCCCCCATGCTTTCGCGCCAATAAAACCACACGTATTGACATCCTCTTTACTGCAATCGTTTCAATACAATGTCATATTTTATTGAATAAAATCCCATTTGTGATTGAAACGGTTACATTAAAGATCTGTGGTTTTATTGGCCGCACAAACATGGGGGATTTTGAATCTAATTTTAAAAAATTCAAAGCAAAATTGAGTAAGCCATTTTTTCCTAACTAATGTGTTACAGCATTATATATAAAATTTCTTATGGTGACAGATGAATGTTTCTGTAGTGGTTCTGTCTGGGCGAAAACAAAATCTGATTAAGTATCGCTGCTGCAGTAAGAGTTCCATCTTTGATGTTTTCACAAGTGTTACGAATGGACAAAGAACCTGTGTACGGTGCTTCATCCTTGCTGCATTAGGCCTTTAATGTAACTGCGAACTGCTTCTATTATTAGCTTAGATCCTTCAACGCAGTTCTAACCACCGGACGCTCCATTGTAAGCGATTGGGGCGCCACACGTTGGCCAGCTTCATTTCTTATCAAACCTACCCTATATATTATTATTTATTCACCTACATTTTAGTTTGCAATTAAAACAGTCATTTCTTACATCAAATAGCGTTTGAGATGGACCACAACTTTTGCTTTTGTTGAAAGCCAATATTTTTTATAAAACCTGAAATATTAAAATAAATGCAATCTTATAGGCCAAGTGACTTGCAACTACCTAGGCGTGATTTTCAACGACATCCTCCCAGAATTCAAAGAGATCAATCTGAAACAGAAGCTGTTGATCACACATACCGCAATGCATGGCGTAGGTACCCCGTACGTCAAAAAAGTATTCGACGGTATTGGTATTATATTCCAAACGGTGCCCGAACAGCAGGATCCGGATCCGGAGTTTTCCACCGTCAAGTTCCCGAACCCCGAAGAGGGAAAGAGCAGCTTAGATCTGGCGTTCAGAACAGCGGATCAACAGGGCAGCGTGGTTATTTTAGCGAACGATCCGGATGCTGATAGATTGGCGTGTGCTGAGAAACAGAAGGACACCAACCAATGGAAAGTGTTCACAGGTCAGGGAATTACTGATAATCCTTGAGTTCACTCGCCTCGATTCACCAAATCTAACGTTGCTAGAACAAAACACAGATCATGAACGTAGAAAGAAAGCTCACTCATCCGCAGCAATGTGGCGTTTGAAGGGTCATTATTGCGAATGAAAAAAATGGTGCCGTCAGAACACTAAACTGTTTACTATAGATGCTCGACTGTGTTCACTAAACTTTGAGATAATTTCCTAAACGACATGTTTGGCGGATGTGGCATAAGCGGGGTTGTCGCTTTTGTGAGGCTCTTGTCATGTTATTATACCTAATGATGAAAGCTTCTATAATAGAAGAGCTGTTAGAAAACAATTGACATGACTTGAATATTATCCAGGTTGCAATAAATAACCTGGCACAACCCATAAGCAGTTCAGTATTACGGAATATACCATAAAATATTCTTTATTTCCTTAAAAGTTCGCTTCACGATCCTTACACTTAGACTTTAGCATTGTGTTTTGATCGCCCGATTTAAATTCTGTGATTTCTCCGGCATTACTTACGATCTTCTAATGTTTCCCCATCTCATAGTCCAGCTTCAGATAACTGACGTTGAGCTACGAATACAAATAAATTACACCCCAACGTACTCATACAGGGAACACCAAACTTGTCTGATGGCTTGTGTTCAATGTGTATGAGAGAGAAGCGCGAGAAGTGTCTATCAATACATGTTCGTGTAGTCTGCCGTATTGAAAATATATTACATCAGAAAATGTTCGCACAGGCTGCTACAATAGGTTAGGTTTCTATCAAACCCAAGAAGGAGGTCTGCTCGAACATTTAGTTTAATATTTTGTTTTCATTTTGATGAGATTTATTTATTTCAATTTTGATACGACTTACTGCTTTAATTTATTTTAGAATTATCTTTGATTTCGTCCTATGATGATACATACAATCAACATATCCTGAGTTATTGTTACATTTTGCGACAGCAAGCTGAAGGTAAAAGCCACTTCGAAGCAGGAAGATACTCCCCAATGAGTGGTAGATGCACTCATTTATGATCATGGATGTGGAAACCTTGCCTTGGAATGTACGAGATCCGGTGTTGCCAAGCAAACCAATAATACAATGTTGCAGAATATATGGCGATCCTGACCTTTCATTTCGACCTAAAATGGTGCGACGTTAGGATCGATCCGGAATCGACACAATTCACAATTCAAAAATGTGTTCGTTCAAAATGAAACGATTATTTGGGAGTAGAGAATCAACTAACGCATATTTTCAACATGCATCTTAATTCAAGGAACTGGTGTAACATATTGGCAACGCTACAGATTACCGCGTCAGCATTGCTAGGCGACATGGAGATGAGCTTCGCTATCCAGCCGGCTTCTATATCATTCTAGTATATGAGTATACTTACAATTTTAGACTTAAGAGCATTTCTTTTCTGGCAAAACATGTTGTACTTTTAAAGATACTTCCTATGCCCGACTCGTACCAGTGTTTCATTGGAAAGCCCTTTTTGTAGAGCTTTTTATGACTAGGCAGAAAACATGATGCTCGCGGAAAATAAGATGACAATTTTTATAGAAAATTATTCTTCTAATGACCCAATGTTACGAATGCATGTTTCGAAATAATTTATTTCCCTCTGCAGGGCTGTACAAAAAAATTAAACACCATCTGTACATACTCATTAATTAACGATTTAAACAATAAAATCGATTTTAAAGATACTTATTTTCGTTAAGTTAAAAAATAAAATATAGATAAGAAGATTCCTAATTTAGATAGATATTCAAGATGAATGAAAAGTGTTGTTTACGTTTTATCATCAGATAAATTATAGGGAAGGCACCCTTTTAGTTAGAAATTGTAGCGGTCAAATAACAATCTAACGTCATGCACATCTTAGATATTATCATTTAGATTGTAACTTATCAATACGACATTCCTACGCAAGAATCAAAATTAATTACATGACAGTTTGAAAACATGTGTTGGACTATTTGTGTGTATCCCTCTTTTAGGTGGAAATTCTTATAGTCTCCTTTGTGCTCTGATACTCGGGTTTTTAAGTACCTTCCTGTTGATATATATATACAGGGTGACTTCGAAGTTGAGTCATTTATTTTAACCGTGAGTAGATCTGATCAAAAGAAATGTTTTTTCCTTTACCATTTTTCTGGTAAAATTAAAGTAACAAAGTTATAGCCCTTTGGAAGTTTGAGTACCGCCCTGTCTCAATAATAATACGAGTATTATGTGCTCGTGTTTGGCGACAACGGATATAATTCGCCTTATCGGTTCATCGCATCGGAAACAAAAAAGCGAAAGAATTTGGAACGATGTTTTTACAATTATTTCATTCAGTTGTATACAGTCAGTGTCAGTCGGTAGTGGATAGTGGTGTCTGTTGCGTGGCTCAAACGAAATAAAAAATGGCACATGTTTATGCGGATCGGTTTCCCAATCGAGTGCAACCAACCCCTCGTGCCTTTGTTAATGTAGTACAACGGGTTCGTGAATCATTTGACTTAAGACCTCACATATGGACGGCATGCCGGTGCTCCAAGACCTCACGATCAAATACAGGTCCGCACTGAAATACTTGTCGGGAGGATACTTTATAAAACAAGGCAAAAACAATTTTTTAATTTTTTTTTTATTTTTACACATATTTTGGTTTATCTTCCTTCTACAATCATTATCTGAAAATTAATGACTCAACTTCAAAGTCACCCTGTATATATATATATATGAGCAGTAGTCATTGCCAAAGCCAACGACCAGTTGGGCACAAAATACAATTAATTGTTAATTGGGAAATTGGCAAATTTTTAGGCTTAAGTTGACTCTTTTGACGATAAAATCAAGCTTTCGGCATTCATCAGGATTCTGAAAACACAATTGTGATGGTAGCAAAGAAAACAGGACGGATTTAAATTGTCAGACAACTTACTCGTCGGTGAGGTTGCAGCCACAAGGTGTTTCAAAACGAACGTAGAGAAGATAGAACTTGTAATCAGTATAAAAACAAAAGGACGGGGACATTGGGCTTGTTGAAAACGACAGATACCTTCGTTACATGTTAAAAATATCAATCCACCCGAACAAATTAAAAAGTAATACACAGTCTCTAACCTCCTACTTCCGCAACACGTGGAGAGGGGGACGGCACGGAAAGATAAAGTATATATATATATATATATATATGTATATAATTACAATATGTGTATGGAATTCTATATACAACATTCAATTCTTGTTCTGTTGGAATTTTGTCTTTAAGTTTACAAAAAAAATTCTGATTGTATTTTCACTTGCACGCAATCTTAATTGTATCTGAACTTAAAATACTCACTAATTTTTTACTTGAGGAATTTTCAAGTATAGTTTTTTTGCTTCAGCAGTATTACTGGTGGTGGGGCTATTGTTTTGCTTATTACTCTATGATAATGTAGTGAGGAGAGATGAAGGGTATTTTCTTGATACTGTTATCACGAAAAATAATTATTACATAATAACAACATGAAAATTAATAATTAATGTATATGTAAAGTTAGTGTTTTAATTTTTTTGTAGAGCCCTGAAGAAGGGAATAAATTATTCCGACACGTCGGCAACTTTGAAACAGGAACCCTTCTTTAGACCCAAAATCCAATTAATTGCTAGAAATGTATACTATTTTTTTTGTATAGGTAACGAATTAGGTGCTCTCTTGGGTTGGTGGATGCTGTTCCAATACAGGAAAAAGAATCCAGGAAAATCGTTAGAGAACGTTTACATGGTTTGCAGTACAGTCAGTTCAATGATACTTCGTACTATTGCAAAAGCAGAAGGATTCCATTTCATTGATACTCTTACTGGCTTCAAGTGGATTGGAAACAAAGCATTAGAGCTGCAGGTAAAATTTTATTCACTTATCAAAAGTCTGCAGTTCATATCGTAGCAGAAGTTCAATCCTATTAAAAACTAGATATTTCTAGATGAGGCTGTTTACTCAAAAATCTTCATACGAGTATATTTTAAACAAAACTGTAGCCCCAAGTTTCAAAATTGTCGTTTTAGGCTCTCGCAGTTATCAATACGAAAGCATAATAAAAATTGCACAAATTTCCTAATAAAAAAAATGGAATAATTATTTATATGTTTCAAAACTAGTTTTGGCAACTTTTCCATTTTCTCGCTACACCTGCCACTGGAAAGCATTAGGCCCCATATCTGACGATTCTGAAGTAAAATTGTACAAGGAAGTTAAAAATGATCTCCAAATTTCGATATGATAATTCGTTCGAGATATTTCAGTCAGACCTGATTTTATCGAAATTTTCAATGCCTTCCAAAACGAAAATACATAAAATTAATTTTTCTTGTACAGGAGGTGGACCAACCTAACCACCTATATAAACGGAATTTTGTACTCGGACATTTATTTTGGTCGGATACACCTTTAGATCCAATTTTCGATATTTTGGACAAAAATTTGTCGTGGTACTGGCGAAAGGGTCATGTCTCATATCTGTCTCAAACTTGTTTTCGGAAAAGTTCCTATGGAGGCATGTGACTTTGTAAAATCTCAAACCCTAGGTCGAACGGCAACAATTCCGTGTTCTCGCTAATCTTGTGATTGGAAAACATTAGGCCACTATTCCAAAGTAACGTTATCTGAAGAATTAAAAAATTGTCTCAAGTTGCGATCTGATAATTCGTTTGGCAGACATTTCAGTCAAAAATTATTTAGTTTCTTCGATAGTTTTTATTGTTTTCTTGAGCTGACAATTCAAATGTTGTACTGAGGGAGGATCAACCCATCGTTCTGTATGAGTTGAATTCTGTACTAGGATCTCTGGAATTTATCGAATAGCCGTTTAGTGCCAAATTTCGATATTTTTGCCTAAAATATCGTTTTCACCATGTTAGATGAGGTATATCGTCGGTCTCCGCACGTACCGGCGTAACTAACATTTTACAAATTTTACAGGAGAGCTAGAAAACGAAAATCAGCAATAAATGAGATTGACAGTGATATTTATTTATTTATTTATTTAATTACACCACCAACAGTTTATACACCAATTACTGGTGGGGAAATACAGTACATATATATAAAAATCACAAAAGAAACCAATTGCATTGATTGCTTAGTAATTACCAATAAGAACCCATGAAAAGCTACCACTGATCATAGCTCGATCAAACTGTGGTAGCTCTAAAAATACTACCGCTTTACATACTCTCTTAATAATAGAAATGGATGTGTTGAAGATATCAAAATAATTCATATAGTCATTATAACATGAGCATATCGAATATAGCGGTGAGTGCAGCAGTAGATTCGTTCGTGGGGTAGGTAGGTAAAAGGCAAGGTTGGCCCTTGTTCGTACTCTAGGTGTATTGAAATTTAGCATAGACAAAAATGGTGGACAGTCATGTTGATAATTTATAACTTTGAACAAAAAGACTAAAGATTGTATCTTCCTTCTATCATCAAGGCTGAGAAACCTATGCTTTTGAAGTAAGTTATTTTGTGAAATCCCTATGGGAGGATAAACACCATCAGTTTTGAGAGATAAATACTTCAAGAACTTCCTCTGAATTTTTTCCAATGAGTCACATGAGGTAACATAGCATGGGTTCCAGATTATCCTTCCGTATTCCAGCTTAGAAAGAACAAACGAATTGTACAGCACTGTAGGTGCTGGGGTACCGATAAACTCTCTTGAATTGCGTATAACGAATCCCAGTGCTTTGTTGGCAGAATTCCCTAAATTAGTTAGGTGTGCACTGAAGCTCAATGTCCTGTCAAATATTACTTCCTAGGTCCCTGAACTCCTCTAAAGTGTGAAGAGGAGTGTTGTTCATTTTATAACTATTGGTAATTGAATTTACTCTCCTAGTGAAAGTTAAAGATTTACATTTGCTCACGTTGATGGGAAGTTTATTAGCAGCACACCACTCAGACAGTCTGTCAAGATTCCTTTGTAAATAAAAGCAACTAGATGGATCATCAATTTGCCAGTACAGTTTTACGTCGTCCGCGTAGAGCAGAATATTGCAGTCAATCGTATTAACTAAGTCATTAATATACTAAGTGACATATAAATCCGAACACCCAGTTGAAATGGTTTTATTTTAATAACATTTTGTATAAGTACTTAATGAAGCATAATAAGTAAATGATAAAAATTTCAAAATGATTGCACTGCTTTAAAGCCCTTTGACCTTTAATAATGTGTGGATGCAACCTGATGTGCTACGCATTCTTCAACGCGCCTAGGCATGCTTCTGATCAGGTGGTCAATGTCCTCATATCCCACACGTGCTCAATTGGGGATAAGTCGGGAGATCTTGGTGGCCATGGTAACAAATGTGACATCATTATGTTGAAAGAAGTCTATTGTGACTCTTGCAACATGTGGTCGGGCATTATCTTGTTGGAAAGTTGGATCTGTCAGGGTGTCAAGATAGGGTAAAAGATGGGGTTCTAGAACTTCGTGGATATAACGCTGCGCGTTCATGTTACCTCTGATGAAGATTAAAGGTGACCTGGAACCATAAGCTATAGCACCCCAAACCATAACTCCAACAGTGTGATGAACATGTCTTTCAACAAAAACTGTGGATTCCTCCTTTCACCACGTCGCCTTCTAACCCTGGCACGACCATCGTGCATGCCTAAACAAAATCGAGACTCCTCACTAAAGACAATACTGTTCCATTCCTGATCCCAGAGTGACCGTTGTCTGCACCACTCAAGGCGGTGTTCTCGAGTTAAAGGGAGGACCCAGTGTGGCCGGTATGAAAACAAGCCAAAACTTCTCATTCGTCGGTAAACACTTCGCATGCCAATAGGTCTTCCGTGTTCTGCAAACCATTCATTTGCAATGGACCTGGTAGTGGAGAAACGGTCCCTTAAGGCCAATAATCTTAGGCGGCGATCTTCACGGTCTGTTGTTCTACGGCGGCGTCCAGTGCCCCTTGCTCTTTGCGTACGGCCTTCTCGAAGCCATGCCTGACAACACCTAACCACAGTGTCTACACTTCTTTGCACTCTAGCTGCAATTGCCCTAAAAGAAAGTCCATCTTCCCGAAGTCCCACTATACGGCCCCTATCAAACTCAGTAAGTTGACGAAATCGTACAGGTCTCCGTACTCTAGGCATCGTAACCGATCGTAAAGGATGTCAAGAACCAAAATCCGCCAACGTTGATTCTTTACTGCGGCTGAAATATTCATTTTTAGAGCGTTAGTGAATTAAAAAAAAGCAGTATAAAAACCGGAATGTCCAACTGATAAGGCTGAAAATTTTTTCACTTGTTATTTACAGTAAGATAAATACATTCACCAACTTTTATTAAAATAAAACCATTTAAACTGGGTGTTCGGATTTATATGTCACTTAGTATAAAAATGACGAATAGTAGTGGACCTAAGGAAGATCCTTGTGGGACGCAAGTAGATGGAAAAAAGTGAATTGATTTACCACCGTTAAAATCCACATATAGTTTGCGATCAGACAAATACGACTGAAATAATAATACCAAATTTTTGGTTAAGCCAATGCTATTTAGTTTTCCCAGTAGTAAACCATGATCGACTCTATCAAACGCTTTACTGAAATCAGTATATCAACCTGACCATTAGAATCTAAAACACCTGCTAGGAATTGAGTTAAACAGACTAAGTTTGTTGTTGTCGACCTTCCTTTTACAAATCCATGTTGTGCTGTAGAAATTGAAGAACTTACGTTGTATTGTATGAAATTATGTAATAACATTTCAAACGTTTTCGAAAAATCACACACAATAGTGATAGACCTATGGTTTTCAATTAATTTACGGCTTCCATTTTTATGGATAGGTCGAACCTTGGCTTCACGCCAAATCTCAGGAAATGTATGTGATCTGATTCTTAGGTTATAGATTTTAGTTAAAGGTGCAGCAAGAATAGGTGCACAATCACGGAATAAGAATGCAGGTATACCATCAGGTCCACTAGTGAACTTTTTTTTCATTTTCTTTAATGCCATAAGAACCTCATTTTCTGTGAAGCTATTCAACACAATATTGTTTGTAGCAATAATATCATCATCTGGCCTAGCTGCTACATTGGGTGTAGAATACCCAGACTGGAAATTTTCAGTCTGCTCTATGTACTTTTATACGCATGACTAACGTCTCTTTTAATTTTGGATCTTAATTCTTTACATGTGTCATAGACACTCACTTCTTGACGTTTTTTGTATAATTTATGTAGCGAATTCTTTTGTTTAATATCCTTGATGATTGCGCGAGTGTACCAGGGTGGAAATTTGCCAGGCGTACGCTTAGTTTTCGGAATACACGTGTTGAAAATATTTATTAGGTTATTGTAGAATAGAGTGCAAGCAATATTGACATCCGAAATATCCTCAAGAAATGACCAGTCCATAAGTGTCAATTGTTCGTACAGTGTAACAAAATCAGCTTTGCGAAAATTGAAGGTAACATCATTTGATTGTGACGAGGTTTTGCTACGAGAGTTTCTGTCTAATGTAATACAAAGTGGAGGATGATGTGAGTCTTCGGGCAATAGGTCATCGTATGCTCTACTCACCAAGCATGATTTGTTGGAGAACACTAGGTCAAGCAATCTATTGTTAATATTAAGAATTTGATTTTATTGTAAAAAGTCAAAATATGCTGTAAAGGAGTCAACTACATTCAATTTGCGTGATGGTGAGATATTCTGTATACAAAACTCTGGAATGTTGAAATCCCCAAGAAAATAAACATCATTACCAGAGAGGTATGTCAAAGATTCTAGATGCTCAAATAAGCGCTCATAACATGCAACGCTAGTATTGGGTGGCATGTAGACCACAAATATGTATGTGGTTTTATATTGAATGGTAAACTGAACGCCTACCAGGCCTATACAGGGGATATCACTCTTAACAGCAGTTGTATCAGACGAATTCAACCAGTCTTTCGTGGCAATTAGAGCCCCACCTCCTCTTGTACATTCTAGGTTAACTAAGTCCCTATCAGATCTAAAAACACAGTACTGGACTGCAAATAGCTCTTCATTGAGTATCCCTGATTGCAGCCAAGTTTCAGTACAGCAAATGATGTCATAATCAGATATTGTTACATTGAGAAGGAAATCTTGACATTTGGAGTTTAATCCCCGAACGTTCTGGTAATATACAGAAAGAGTTTCTTTAACAGGACATGAGGAATGTGCTGTGCGAGAGTTATGATATTCATTGCTATATAATTCACCGGGAAGTTCGCAATCAGGAAAAAATCAACCTGATTTGAACTCTTCAATTCGCTGTAAATAGTAAGGACACCTAGAATCCCAAGCAGCATGCGCCACATCAAATTCAGTATTCCTTTCATTATTACTTTTCACACAGTTTATACATTTCAGCGAAGTTGCTTTACAATTTTTGACTAAATGATTTTCACTACACCGCGGACGATGAAACTTCTTACTTTTACATTCTTTTGAATCATGCGAGAATCCCCTACAATTAAAACATCTTTTAATATCAATAGCATCAAATACGTCACACACATCATACCCCACGAATAACTTACCGCCACACACAGACAAAACCTTATTTATGTATCCATATCAAGATTAATAACAGCTTGATAAATGTCATTCCGTTTTTTGATGGGCTTGATTTCAACCACCTTACATTGAGAATGTTCAGTAAACGCTTCCTTATTCTGTGCACGAATGGACTTGATAACATCACCTTCAGACAGTTTACAAGTCATGCCTGCGATACGCACTCTAGGATGAAAGCTGGATACCTTTAATTTCATATTTATCAGCCAATTTTTCGACAGCTATCTGCCTCAACCTCCGACTATCATCATCAGACGAACAGCCTACCAGCATGCCACCATTCCTTGTATTCTTCACTCCAGATATATTTAAATTTTCAGAAACTGGATCAACATATTGAAGTAAATCTGATTTGGTAGTTTGCACAGCTTGGGTGGTATCTTTCGGTTGAATGATTGCAGATTTACCCTTAGCTACCGACGAATAAGGTTTCTTGATACCGGAAGGCCCAGGTTCTGGAAGATTACCCCTTTTTGCAGCCATTTCCATAAAATCCGGACGGAAAGTAGAAAATAGAAGTTGAATATTTTCAGATAGACTTGCAAGTTTGACGTCTAGAAGTTGCTTTACGTCATTGGAGTAAGCACAGCATGACTGACATTTCCATAGTGAACCATTGACCTTTTCGATGTTTTTTATCACATCAGCTGACAGCCCCTAGTATGCTGCATGAAAAACGTTTTCACAAAAACCATCACACTTAACACTTTTGGAACGAGCAGTGATAGCCGTATTACAGGAATTGCACAATGGATCGGCCATTACAACCAACCACACTATGCGCAATTGCACCAACAATGCACGAATAGAAAACTGTAACTTCAACTTTGAACGAAATTTTTTGTCCAAGTAATAACAGCAAAAAACTAAAAAAATGTAGAGAGCAACAAATATCTCGAGAACCGGACAAGGTTATATAAGGACATACTGATTTTTCAGTCTGAACGTTGCTGTTCCTTTTTGTTAGAACTAAAGTGATGTAGAACCAGTTTTAACGCAGATGCGTAAATCTTTTTAAACCGGTACGTGAAAATTGTTTTCGGAATTTTATAACTTAGGCAATTTTCTGAAAATTTTAATTCTGAGCAGCGAACTGATATATAGCTACGTCACTTCGTGAAGAGACTACAAAAAAATCTGTGAAATTACGGCGTAACTCGATTTTACATTATTTCTCATTTACGCCTGTACGTGCGGAGACCGACGATATGGATGTTATTGGAGATTGAGTTAATCAAAGATGCTATTTATGTTACAAATGCATTAACACATTGCTTGGTTGGCTACCACAGCTGTCAAGAGATATTTGCAGAAAATCAGTAGTTCAGTATTCAGTGTGCCCAAGATGAGGAACGGGATTTCAAAAAAGGTTAGAGCCAGAACGTTGATTAAATGAGAAAAAAGTTGCGGAACATGAGTATCTTTTCGATTTTGAGTTATTTCAAGAAAAATGTAATTTAAAAAATTTTATATAATTATACACCTTTGTCCAACTAACTCAAAATCAGAACGCACTCAAATTTTGTGAACTGGGTGTAACTTTTCCTAATTTAACCTCTAACCGTTTTTGAGATCGTATATATATATATATATAAGCTGCGTTAGCCAATGGGCGTTAACCAATGTGTTGATGTATTTATAAATCGGTTAACCTCCATGACTAGATCAATCTCCAATAACATTCATATACCACTATGAAACTGGTAAATCTTAGGCCAAAATATAGAAAATTGGCTGTAACTCCTATTCGACCAATTCAGAGGTCGAGAACAGGATTCAACTCATATAGAGCGATGGGTTGATTTCCTCTCATATCTGTTGAACGCATTTCATATTGAAATTTGGAGGTCTTTTTTATCAAAGTCAGAGAATGAAGGTTGTTTTTCTTTCATCTAACGGATGTCTCCATGTTAAGAGCAGGGTCAGATTTCATGACGATCCTGCGTTACGTCACGCTAGGGCTTACAACACAAAACTGGAGCAAAATTTTACGTTCGAACTAGGAAAGAACTTGCATTAAAAAATGTAAACGCTCGGAATATACTTGTTGGAGGCAAAATATTAATATAACATTGCATGTAAGATATCTATCTACGTGACGTTTCGCAACTTCAAAATATTGTAACTGTTGCTACTGTGCTAGTCTAATTTATTACTCTAAGACTAATTTATAACACTTGCAACTAATTTATGACAAATGTATACTGAACTATGTTGACGTATCATCGCATCTTTATATTTTGAAATGGACCAATCGAGAGGCTCCTCCGTTGAATGTCCAGATGATGCGAATGCCCAACTCGACAGAACGCTCTTGAACGTGAAGTGAATCCTATGTCGAATTTCCTGGTCGACGTACAAGAGTCTCCCTGGTAGAAAACTAGAGTTCCAGTTATGCGAGGGCGTTACAATATAAATACTATAAAACGTCAGTTGGAAAATATTTGTTGTCTCTGTAACTCTGTTAGCAGCCCACGGCATATAAAAATGTATCTAAACGCGCTATACAGGCTTACCACTCGCCAAAGCGACTTTCTAAAAAAGTCGCGCGTTTCTAAGTATTTTCTCATCTATTGAAATATCGGTTTAGCGAGTGGTAAAAGTATGTAGTGCTCCTATGTGTGACGTCAATATATATATATATATATATATTACTTAAAATGATTAATCTTTTCCAGAGTGCAGGAAAGGAAGTCATATTTGGCTTTGAAGAAGCCATTGGTTACATGTGCTCCATGGCCGTTGTGGACAAGGACGGTGTGTCCGCAGCATATCAGCTGGCCACATGCGCCTCCTACTTGTATAGTCAAGGCAAAACCATCAACCAACAACTTCAGGAGATTTACGATAAATATGGTCAGCATTTATCTTTAAATTCCTACTATATCTGTCATGATCCGGTTCTTATCAAAAAGATATTCGATAAAATAAGAACAAAGAGGGGACCAGATACCTATCCTGAGACTATACTCAATGGCAAATATCAGATAACGACAGTGAGAGATCTGACAACAGGGTACGATAACAACCAACCGGATAAGAAAGCGGTGTTGCCAGTTTCTTCAAGCAGTCAGATGATCACCTTCAACTTTTCGAACGGACTTGTATGCACCTTGAGAACTAGTGGCACAGAACCTAAAATAAAGTACTACACGGAGATGTGTGCCTATCCTGATATAAAAGATAAGACTCAGATTACCAAAACATTAGAAGAGATGGTAGACGCGATCTGTGAAGAGATGTTTGAGCCTAAACTTAATGGGCTACAGGCTAAGGCTGGGTAGTCGTAGTGATATAGAAATGGTGTGATATTAGATAATAGAATTGTGAATAAATTATTGTGGAGTCTATAACAAAGTGTTTCATTTTGATTACATATCTTACAGTATAACTGGAAGTAACTATTCAAGGAATAGTGGTAGAACTGTAAAATTTTAGAGGATCTCCTAAAATAGTTTACCGTGTTTTTAACCCACGTTGTTGAAGGAAAAAGTTCGCGAGTTTCAAAGACAGCTTCTGCATTTGGTGTGCTTTCAATAATCTGGCAGACGGGTCACTCATTTGTCCAATCATATTGGTAAATTTCCCGGAAATAATTGTAAAGTCTCGTTTTATTGATGCAAGTTGTTCAAGGGGGTATTTAAAACATGGACGCATAAAATGGGTACACCAATGTTTGTGTGAAAACTTCTATTCGACAACAAAGAATGTCGAAAGTGTTGGCAGGGACGGAAAAACACTTCGTTCAGGCTTGTAAACGGAAAACCAGCGGCATACGTATGATCGTTTATACAGGGTGGCCAAACACGTGACGTCATAAAAAAAAATTAGATTCCCCACATCGAGAGGAACCCAAATCACCCCCATATATATGGTCCGATTTTGTTTAGTTTAGGAGTTATGATTTTTTTTCGGATTTTTCGAGAATTTTTGAGTTCTGTGTTTATTTTTACCATAACTTCGTTAATAATTGTGATAAATGCCTGCTTTTTTCACGATTATGTAGCTAAGACCTAAGGCTTAACTATCATATAATCATTCAAGTTATGTAACTAATACTACTTTTTAATTTTTTTCAAAATCTTCGAACATAACAAAAAAGTAAAAAAGTGCAACAACTTTGAACATTTATAAAAAATTGAAAAAACATGTTCTTACTATTCGTAAGTATCTTAAAAACTTCCTTACGGTATCAGCTATTTACCGTAAAAATTTCATCGACCTAGCTTTACTACATGCTACCGTAATTGTGGCTCAAATAGAACCGAACCCAAAATTGGATAACCCTCTGCTCAATAGAAATTGTTAGTTTCGGAAAAAAAATTTGCAAAAACCACAAAAACACGTTTGATTTTTACTGAACAGCAGATTATTATTCATTTATGTTATTTACAAGAGGTTTTCAAAATGTCTGCCTCTAACAGAAATGCACAGTGTACACCTACGTATGAAATTTTGTTTTAAATCTCTAAATGCTTGTGTGTTGTTTTTCAACACATGTGTCGCTTCATGAATTTTGTTCCTCAATGAATTTTCATTTGCACATTCTTGGGCGAATGTTATGTCTTTAAAATATCCCCAAACAAAAGAATCAATGGGGTTGAGGTGAGGGGAGCGTGGAGGCCATCGTATCGGTCCGTTTCGTCCGATCCATCTGTCTGGGAACCTTTCGTTTAAGTAGTTTCGCACGATCGTTGCGTTGTGGCATGGTGCACCATCATTCTGGAACACCATGTTCCGTCTGGCTTCCAGGCTTGAATCTTCCAGCAATAATGGTAGGCTATTTTCAAGGAAGCTTTTGTAGGCTACCGAATCCAACCTTGACGGCAGTTCAAATGGACCGATAAATTCCATATTGAATATTCCTGACCACATGTTCACACTAAAACGGTGTTGAAATGTCGACGGCCTTGACTGGTGGGGGTTTTCAACAGCCCAAGTATGTAAATTATGGATATTGAATATCCCTGTTCTTTCAAAACGTGACTCGTCAGTCCATAAAATTTTATCAAAAAAATCGGGATCCTCTCGTTGTCTTCGCAGCATTGTCTCGCAGAAATCCACTCTTAACTGGTAATCTGAAGGCATCAACGCTTGAACTCTTTGAACATGATAGGCATGATAACCTTCTTCATGAAGAATATTTTGTAGCGATGTTCGTGGTATTCTAAGGTTTTGTGCCATAGATCTCGTACTCGTTGAGGGATTCCGGCTAATTTCTTCAAGTACTACTTCTCTGCGATCCGGATCAGCTGTAGGATATCCTTCATTGCTTCCTCGTCCTGGGATGATGGTGCACCATGCCACAACGCAACGATCGTGCGAAACTACTTAAACGAAAGGTTCCCAGACAGATGGATCGGACGAAACGGACCGATACGATGGCCTCCACGCTCCCCTGACCTCAACCCCATTGATTTTTTTGTTTGGGGATATTTTAAAGACATAACATTCGCCCAAGAATGTGCAAATGAAAATTCATTGAGGAACAAAATTCAAGAAGCGACACATGTGTTGAAAAACAACACACAAGCATTTAGAGATTTAAAACAAAATTTCATACGTAGGTGTACACTGTGCATTTCTGTTAGAGGCAGACATTTTGAAAACCTCTTGTAAATAACATAAATGAATAATAATCTGCTGTTCAGTAAAAATCAAACGTGTTTTTGTGGTTTAGTTTAGTATTAGTTACATGACTTGAATGATTATACGATAGTTAAGCCTTAGGTCTTAGCTACATAATCGTGAAAAAAGCAGGCATTTATCACAATTATTAACGAAGTTATGGTAAAAATAAACACAGAACTCAAAAATTCTCGAAAAATCCGAAAAAAAATCATAACTCCTAAACTAAACAAAATCGGACCATATATATGGGGATGATTTGGGTTCCTCTCGATGTGGAGAATCTAATTTTTTTTTTATGACGTCACGTGTTTGGCCACCCTGTATATATTTTTTATATTACTTTGATGAAATTTCAGAAACACTATTTCAGATCATAGCTGATAATTTTTGAAAACATATATCTTAGATGTGTAAATTATTAACCAACAATAATAATCCGAAATTTTGTCAAATCAAATCTGTTATAAACAATTAGGGTTATTCTTGAAAACTATACAATATACAATGCTGAAACTTTAAATGATGTATTAAGGCTGCTACACACAGTGCCGCCGGCTAAGCCGCCGTCCTTGCCGCGCAAAGGAGCCGCCGGGGAATGCCGGCGGGTTACGCGGCTTGCCGGCGTCACTTCGTTCCTGGTATTCGAGCGGTAGTGTTGTGCGGTTTGTGTGTTTAAAATGTCGTTTAATTGGGACGACGAAGCTGTGCTGCTCTTAATTGAAAAATTTCATGAAAATGATATATTATGGAATCCCAGAAATGCAGACTATAAGAATAGGAACAATCGACGCACTGAACATAATTGCAAGTGTATTTGACATTGATAAAGGCGAAGTAGAGAGAAAGTTAAAAAATGTAACCTCTCATTATTTTCGGGAAAAAAAGAAGTTCGAACAGTTGCACAAATCTGGTGCAGGCATAGACGATGTACAGAAACCCAAAAACATGCTATTGCGCAAACGCTGACACCCCACATAATGTTTTTTATACTCTTCTATCATTACAGTACCGTTTCGCCATTTTCTATTTTGTAAACTTGGGTGCAACCCAAACCTTCTCGTCCTTTTGTATTTTTTTTTTATTAAAATAAAAATTACAACTGCGGCGGCTGTGCTGATGATTTCCTTATTCATTTTAACCAACCAACCATAAAATATGCACTTCACTAGCGTTCTATGTGACTGTCACAACCGGAATGATGCTTGGCGGCTTGCGCCGGCGGCTTGTATTGCCGACGGCATAGCCGCTCGGCATAAACCCGGCGGCATTGCCGCCGGCTTGTGTGTAGTAGCTTTTAGGAAGTAATACCGAGCATTTTGCCTAATTTTTCAGATGGTCAGTTCGCTACAATTGGCTGATATTTGTCTACTGTTTTTTCGTTTTCTCGTGTTTATTTTCCAACATTTTGAACTCGCAGTACTTTTGATTGTACAAGATTTCGAAAACAGACGTATATCAATACTTTTAGAGAAAAAGGTCCATATTTCTTCGTAAACAAACTGGATTACGTGACCTACTTAATTGACAAAGTCATGCAGTCAACAGTCATCAATATTGCAGCCATTTAGCACATGGCTATATACTAACTAGTCTAAGACATTTTGAAACATAATAATTGTGTCTTCAGTTAGCGTGCAAACTTTATAAACAGTTTAGCGCATTTTAGTATGAAATTTTTTTTATAAACTTTAAGGCTCATCTGTAACCGAGTAAAACTTTCAGCTCTAAATATGTATACACAAGAGTGTGAAGAAATATTGAATAAAAAAATGTTTTCTTCGCAACAAAAGATGATAGAAACATCCGCCTTATTTTAAAATGTGTATAATAACGTATGTTTTTCGAATATCGTAGCGAATCCGTTCAATTACACTCAAATACGAAATGTTTGAATTTGTTTAGAAGAAAAACATAATCCTTCGTTTTTCGCATAAAAATAACAATTATCTTTCGGAATAGTTTGTAACTCATGTCGGCAAGATACACTCGTGTATTTTGCTATAAAATGCCCTTTGAACGAACCCTGTACATTTCTCAGTAAGCTAGCAGTGATGGGATAAACAATAATTAGAAATTCTCAAAAACTACTTGACCAATCGACTCCAATTTTGTTGTGGTGATTTAGAAGTAGCCTACGGATTTGTAGAATTTCAAGTGTCAACACCTGCATTTTGCCTCGGCCATAACTTTTTTACTATTAGTCGGATCTTTTTATGTGTGCTCTC